TATGTCAAAAAGTCAAAAAGTCATAACCCTAATATACATATATAAATTCTCAACAAAAATTGTAATACAAAAATTAATAGAAAATAAAATTCAAGTGTTTTAAAATATTTTTTTATTAAATCTTGATTTGAGAAAAAATTATCTTAAAACAAGATTTAAATTTCTTGTTGGTTTTGAAAAACTTTAAATTAGGAAGAATAATTCTTAATTCAAGATATTTTCTTCTTGATTTAAGAATTAATCTTTTTATTTCATTTCTTGTTTTAAGAAATAAATATCCTACACTACGGACAAGAAATTGTAATCTTATTTTAAGATATTTTTTTCTTAATTAGGCATTTTTCTTCCTATATTAAGAATTTCTTGTTTTAAGAAAAAGGTTCTTAAACATTTCCAGTAACTTGTGAAGTGTTGGCCTTCAATGATAATTTTAATAAAATGGTTAGAAAAAAACATTTTGATAATCTCAAAAACTTTCCTAGAGACACATCTGTTGAAGGAAGTTAATGGAGAAGACCAGCAAGCCAAACTTTGTAGAAAGTAATGTAAATATGTCAAGTGAAAGTATTTAAATATGTCAAGAGCATTAGTATGTCAATATATCAAGTAAATATGTCAAGAGCATTAGAGCATGAAAGTAATTAAATATGTCAAGAGCATTAGCCCAATCTTTATCGCCTAGCCCAATCTTTGTCGCCTAAAATATTTCAGTCACAGCATTTAAAAAGTCAGCTGTAGAGCAAGAGGATTGAAAACTGTATTAATTATCAGACAATAAGTCATTTGACTGATGATGGGATGCAAAAATTTGTTGATCAAAGATTCAAAAACCTTACTAAAAGCAGAAAGAAGGCTGATTGGATGATAATTGGAGGGATCAGAATATTCTCCGAAATCGTTGAAAAAAGGAACCATAGATGCCATTATCCAGCAGGCAGGAAAACAAGACTTAAAAAAAAAGAGCAAGCACTTATTAAATAGTTTAAAGAGAATTAGAGTTACGGAGAACAATTTTGAGATAAAATACAAGATTTAGTGAACTGAGAATAAGGAGCTTAGCATCAGACAGGGCCTTTATTTGTCCCTGTACGGAATACATATTTGGGCTGCTTCTAATGATGCTCTTTCACTTCTAGACAAGGTCCAGAAAACGTTGTTGGACCTGCTCTATCAGCATCTATCTCATTGTGATAAAATTGCCTCTCTTTCTCTTTTCTACTAATACTATCATAGTCGCTGCTCAAAGGAACTACCACCTTTAGTTCCATCAACAAAAACTCATTCACACTTGACTTGCCATTCAGAAAAGTTGCATCCTTTCACTAATTCTGTCCAGTCCAGCAGGCTCTAAAATCTTTTATTTGACTAGTTTTTTTTCTCGTACATCAATGCTTTGGAACTCTCTCCTATCTTCATATTTTCCTGCCTCATAGAACCTAAAATTTTTTTCGTCTTATGTCAACTCTTTCCTTGCTCTTTAACTCTATTCTTTGTTTTCTAATAACTCCCAAATTAATAGTAGTTGCTTACAGCCTTGTAGCAAGTAAACTTAATTTTAAATTTTTTTTAATATTTTGAACTATTTTGTTTCAACTTTGATATATCTAGTATTTTTATTTTGAATCGCTCAAGTTTTTCTATACTAATAACATATCAAAAATGCCAACTTCTATCTTCAGCTTTATTAAACTTTTTCTTCTTTAACAATAGTTTCAAACACTTTCTTTAATTGTAGATGTTGTTTTATATACACTTATATACATTTTGTACTTATTTAATTTTTTCTTTTCTTGTAGTACATGTTTTTTCTATTTTGACTTCATAATTACTATAACAATACCAGGCCAACTACTTTTACTTTATAATCTATAATGCTTTTCTATTTTGTTTCTTAGAGATTATATCTAAGATTAGACTTTGATTATATCTAAAATTGACTTGAGGAGGCAAATCACATAAAAAATAATAATAGTAATAATTTAAGTCTTTATGGAGATTTTCTGACAGTAACTTTAGTGCTTCCTATAGTATTGATTTATCAGAATCTATAAATCTTTTGAAATAAAATGTTCTAAAATAACATGAATAATATAGTCAATAATAACATCTTAACATTATAATAAACACTCATCTACTTTATGACTTTTGGCTGAGTAAAAACTAAAGATAATGTCTCAATAAAAATAGTCAATAAAAATAATCTGAGACATTCAAGCTTCACTGAACTCTTCACATTCTTCACATTCTTGTAAAAGGCTTCCAAGGCAAAGAAGGCAAAGAGAGAGAGAGAGAGAGAAAAAAAAAGAAAGGAAAAGAAAGCTGATCAAATTGACCAAGCTCTTTTTCTTAACCTATCAGTCTTCATCTTTATCCATTATGTTGTTATTAGTGACTTTATTATTAATCAAACAGAAAGACTAGGCTCTATCCATCCTGTTTGTTTTGGTAAACAATATACTCAAACAATTAACTTGACAACCCTAATAACTTACCTTCAAACCTGTTTTGTGTCTTGTTTCTAACCAAGCTTGTGCTCAGTTTCTTAATGTTCTCTTTAAAAATATTCCATGCTATAATCTAAAACTTAAAATACTAATAAACTAATAAATACTAAAAATAAACTAAAACTTCTATATCACACTTCTTCTTAATAAGGTTATCCCACTACTGCTGTCTACTAAATAACTGAAATTTCGTTTGTGATTTTCTTGGACTGATGTGAAGAATGTGAAGAACTCAGTGATGCCTTTTTTCTCTCTGCTAAAAATTGAGTCTCATATGTAACCTCCTGTATTATTATTTTATACTTTTAATTATGATCAATTTTCATTTTAACAATTTTTCACATAGTTTTAGCATTAATTTAATGTTATATATTAATGTCTATGTTATAAACTTTGTCTTTACATTGTTATCTGCTTTATTTTTTTCATACACTATAGTACTTTTATTTTCCTCTCAACATTTGTTCAACATATTTTATTTTGTTAACTATCATTCTTCTTAATTTTTTTGTTACTTCACTTGACAGCTTGGTCTAGTCTTTTAATGGATACATAGTCATGTAAATTTAGGCATAGAAGCTCTTTGACTATGTTTTGAAATCAGTTTCAATAAGTTTTAGTTGATGAAACAATAGATAATAGCTTGCTTTAGCAGCAAACATAAAAGAATTATAAGACAAGAAAAAAAGATTACAACCTAATTAAAGATTAAATAAGAATAAAGAATAAAGTAACTTAATAAGACAAGAAAATAACAAACTCACAGTAATTTTATAAGACAAGAAAAAAACAACCTCACAGTAATGTTAGTAAATATTACAACCTCACAGCAATGAAAGCTCAAGTTTGGTAATTAGAGCAGATTCATTTACATTTCCAAAGAATTTTTGTACCTATTATTAATGTATAAAGCCATTATTAGAAAAACAAGCCCAAAAAGACAAAGACAAATCAGACAATTATAGAGGTAGAGAGTAGAATCAGAAGTAAGAAAATAATAAACATGATAAGAAAGGTCAATGATAAATAAAAAAAATTCAACAGATGCTAACTTCGCATTGAAAGTAAGAAGTTGAAAAAAAAAACTTAGAAAAGGTGCAAAGTAGATAACTCAGTAAAAGAAATGTCCTTTATTAATATAAAAATATCAACAGTACTGAAATAATTTTAAACAGTAAACAACTGAATTCTGTTCAAGTTAAAATATAAAAACCACTACAAGTCCAAGCTGTCACAAGAGAAAGACAAAACTCAAAATTGGTTAACTAGTTACCATTGGTTACCTGTTCTAAAGGACCATATATTGGCAACTAATGTACCTTGGAAATTATTAGAAATGAAAGACAGTGTTTAACTATCATAGATGACATCATAGATGATTTTAATTCTGTTGACTTGAATAAGCTATTAGAGTTTTCGGAAAAAATAAGTCACAAAAGTAACTAAGTAAGAAATTAAGACAATTTTGAACCAGGAGGGTTACAGTGGGTAGGAGAGCCCAAACACCAAGTGTAAAGAGCAATGAAGTTACCAATATTTAAAATAAAATAAAGTTAATGAACTTTATTAGAAGTAATTATGAAAAGAGTGCAGATTAAAGAAGAAGGAGTTTTACATTTTAATATAATATCTATTGGCTTAACTATGATAAATATTATTTTTCTTGGTGTCTACTGATAACTCTATAATATGCATTTTTCATACAGCCTACTGATTACACTATGGTGTGCATTTTTCACACAGTGGCATAATAGTTTACATAGTTGTATTTATACTGTTGCTGTGTTAGAATTAAACTTATTCAAAAAATAATAACAATAGCATGCTATTACTTGCTCATTATAGAAAAGATGCTAATCTATTAAATCTATTAAACAAACATTAAATATATTATTCTTAAAAATTTATCTTACTTTTTTCATTTTTTGTTATCCTTATATTTATAATTAAACAAAATTTTATAAGAAAAACCTAAAAATGTTGCAAACACAAGAAATATCTAAATATGTGGAAGATATATCTAAAGATATATCTTCCACATATTTAGATATTTGTCTTTTCTTCTGTTTCACTGTTCACACTTCCAATTGTTTCTACATCTGTTTGATTGTTCACACTTCTGACCAAAGAACTTTCCATTGTTATACTGTTTATTCATGAAACATTAAGAGATGATAATTCTTACAGTAAAAATTTCTATGCACATAACTATGTAAACACATAGTTATGTGCATAGAAATTTATCACATCACTGTGTGAAAAATGCACAGTTATGTGCATAGAAATTAGAAACTAATTGAGTAAAAAATCCAAAACATTTGTGTCCATTGATTTAACTACATTACAGTGTAATCAATTCAGTTAATAGCAAAACCGAAACAGTGAAAAGTAAATTATTTTATCAAAATCATAGATTTTCAGAATTTTATGATTTCATAAAATTCAAAAAAAGTGTATTAAATAAATAAAATAATAAAAATGTAACAAATATCTTACTGAAACTTGAACGCAATGCCAACCTGGTGAATGACCACCATTGTTGTGTCTAATTTCGATTTCTCTAAGTTCTCCTAAACTTTTTGGCACAGACATAAAAAAAATATCAGTTTCTCCATTCTGAAAACATTTTTTCAAATTACTGCATAACCGTCTTGGCGGAGTTTCTCCTTCTTCGCCAAAAATTGTCAAAAAAACATCAGCAGTTGTAGAAGAGCCTTTTTTAAAACCTGTTTGAACCCTTATTTCATAGAAATATGTATCGTTTGGATGGTTGCATGGCAACAAATTTATCTGAGACTAAATATAAATAAATATTAAAAAAATACTTTCCATTGCTATCCTTTACAGAAATATATTATGGGAGTCCATGCAAAAACAATGGAATTCCAATGAAAACTAAAGGAATTCTATGGGGCCCCATGATTAAACCATGGTTTTTAATTCATGAGTCATGTTGCACATTACATGTTTCATAGTTACCCTATGGGTTCTAATTATCAGTCTTTTGGTTCTAATAATATATATATATATATATATATATATATATATATATATATATATATATATATATATATATATATGAATATATATATATATACACACACACACATATATATATATATATATATATATATATATATATATATATATATATATATATATATATATGAATATATATATATACACACACACACATATATATATATATATATATATATATATATATATATATATATATATATATATATATATTATATATATATATATATATATATATATATATATATATATAAACACACACACACATATATATAAACACACACACACATATATGTATACATGAAATAAATTAATAATGCGTTATTTATGAGTTTTTACAAAAACTTATGATTTCCACCTCTCTCACTTGTTATTATTTTATATATGTATAAAAGTATTTGTTACTACAAACAGTTGTATAAAACAGTTAATATTGTTGTAGAAAATTTGTTATAATATTACTTTATCGAAATTTAATTTCATTGAATTTGTTAAAGTTTTAATCATAAATATGAATTTTTGTAAATTGATATATTTTTTTTCTTTCATAAATATAACAATTACAACAAAAACAACAACAAAACAAACAAAGCTAACTTTTGTACTACCTTAAAGTTCATTTTACTCAGGCAGGAAAAATGTTGAGAAATTTAAATAAATAAAAACAACAACAACCTTTAAGCAATCCTGGTTATCTTTTCTTCTTGCCCAAACTAACAAAATTATATACAAACAAAAGATTGATATCATAACTGAAAATACAACAGGGTTATCAGCAATATTTATATTGGCAAGTGTGGCACTGAGATTAATAGGCTCTGGAGAAGCAAAAGGTCCGCCACCACCAAAGTTAGTTAAATGGTTGCATGCACACTTTGTTTGGTTGATGTTTGTCTCATACTCAACAACCTATTAAAAAAAAAAAAAAAAATAGAAGAAAAAAGTTAAATAAACTATTAGTTAAAAATTTTTTATCAGAATAATATATTAATCAGAAAAATATACAAAAAACAAACAAAAAAACTGACTGTGCATCCTTCACCGTCCCATGTATTTTTGGCATCATTCCAAAATAAACAACTTCTTGTGTAAGCTTGATAGTAATACTTTACAGGAGTATCACAGCTATCATCAGATGGAAGTGCGGAAAATGGCAATAGTTTAGTAGTCAGTGAGTTGTTGTAATAGAATACAATACCAGCACACCAACTGAAAACAAAGTTTATAAGATTAAGTGTTGAAACAAAAAAATTTAAAAAAATTTCAAGTATTTATATGTTTTGTAATCTTTTGTAAAACTCTGTTGTAAAAACTTTAATAAAAATTAAAAACACTTGGTTGGTTCTGGTAAAAAAAACTGTTTAATCAGGGTCACTCAAAGGAGGTCCCACAAGTACATTTTATCTAGACACACGGACAAAGGGGACACATGCAACTCTTAATAAAAGATTTTATTAATATTTTTAATAATCATAAAAAGCACTACTCCTTAGACAAATTTAAAATAGAATCTAAAAGACTTTTATTACAGTTAGAATTTTTCACAACAGACTTCAAATATTTATTATTCTAAATTTAATTCAAAATAGAAAAAAAAAAAAAAAAAAAAAACGTATTATCACTAAATGAATCTATCTTATTAAACATTAATATATGTGTATGCATTAATACATACAACCCAAAATGTGTATGCATTAATACATACAACCCTTGGAATTAGGAAAAATGAGGTCGGCAATAATTTGCCGACCTCAATCTTTTTGAGGTCGGTATCAGGTCGGCAAAAATTATTTGATACAAAGGTCTAGCCATAAAACATAGAAACAAGGCCGGCCTCAAACACTTTCAAGTCGGCAGTTAGGTCAGCATAGTTGAATGGCGACCCTTATTCCAAGGATTGTATACATGTATGTTTACATTAATTTTATTTTAAATTAGTAGAAATATACTATAGTTTCACATTCTTTTAAAGACATTTTCAGCATTTTGCAAAATGTTTTTAAAATGAATTATGCATATATTTGCTTTTATATAAACACAGATAATATGTAAACAGGGCTCGGTGATAAGACAGTTTATGTCTTCATCTTACTCTAGCCTAAATTTATACATGTAGTATGTATTTATTGTAAATTTATCACACAGATAAATTTAGCTTAGGTTAAATGGAAATATCACAATTTCTATTTTTTCTGCATGGAAGGACTGATTGCGATGGCTCGAATTTAAACGTAGTTAAAATTCAAATTACATAACACTTATCTGAACAAAAGGCTTATTTTAAAACATTATCAATGTTATGTTACATAAATCAGTTTAATTACTCTCATTCCAACACTTTTCAAATATTCTTTCTCAATACATTCATTCCAATTATTGATATTGCAAAAATTGCATTTAATTACTTTTTTCCTCTTTAATTCCTTTGAGAAATAAATTCTATATAAAAAGTTCATTTCTATTTTGAAACAAATGAAAAACCTTTTTATTTTATTTAAAAATAAGTAACACACATCTTAGAGTAAAAACATCATGTCCATTTTTCGAAAGCCTGATTCAGGGTCCCAAGGCAGAAAAAAAGCTGTAGAAAAAATTGTAAAAGAATACAAGAACACAAACAAAAACACATGTACACTGTAAAAGAACACTGGAAGAGTGTGGCTTTGGTAAAGTTCAAAAAAAAAGGAAATAACATTACGTCTGACCAAATAGTCAAGATATAGGTTAACAGCTTTGTTTTTTTATTCACAATCTTATATTCATAACTTCATTCCAAAACTGTAAAAACAAATCTTTTTTAGATAGACCATGCTACCAACAGCATTGATAAAACCTTGAGTCCAAGAAAGCCATCTGACCCTTCAAACTTTTCAAGTCTGAAGAAGAAGATAATAATCAGGTGAGTTTGGAATTCTTATTTTATGAAAAACTTGCAGATATTAAAAACATATCATTTTATATTTGCAGATTCTAAAAACATACCACTTAATATCTGCAGATTCTAAAAACATTTTATTTAATATCCGCAGATATTTAAAAAATACAAATATTCTCAAATGCTTTTTTAATTTAGGATCAAGAGGTAATTCAACTGGGTGATCAAGCAGTTAGAAACGACCACACTTTGTGGAAGAGGTCCAAAGTCGAACACAATCTAGTTATACTAAATGGACCACCTCAAAATTTGGCAAATTTGGCCCAGAGATTCTACAAACAAAAAAATTCCTGTCTTCAAAACTTCTCTTCTAAAAAAAAATTCTTTTAAAAAAAACGGAGATAAGATTATCAGAGACTGGCTTATCTGGAATTGCAAAAGCTTTTGTTTATTTTCCCTACTCCATTTTTGGACAAAAGCATAATTTTGGCCCTGGATTTCAGTCTTTCCTCTTGATGTGGAATGGCGGTATAAAAGATAATTGGCAAAAGCTAGGAGAAAAGAATAAAAGCCACCAGTATAATGTTTAACACAGATATCACAACATCGTCTAGAAATCAGCTATTAAAGCCTAGAAAAATCAGTTTTTGAGGTGTGTTAGCAGTTTATTTTTATAAAATAATTTTAATCTTGCTTGAAATATAAATATAGGATGGCATCCATAAAATACCTATGCAGTAAAACCACTGATTTAGGACCCCCTCGCTTCTTGTTTGAACCTGTATGCCTTTGAAGACCCCCTCTCTGACTTCTCTCTGCATACGTGCACATTATTTTTTTCAAAATAAAGCCCCTTTTCTTCCCCAATGCATAAATATTTAAAAACATTAAAAATAAAAAAAACATTTACTTTATTTGACATTTCTCTGCAATTAATTAAAACTTAAAATGTTACTTAATGTAGTTTTGTTTGTAGTAAACTAGTTTAAATCTTAAAATGTTACAACATTTTTTAACATTTTAAGAGAAATGATAAAAACCAGTTTGCGTGTAGTAACTTAAAAAAAAGAATTCAAAAGAAGCTCGTTTTTACTTGACATCTTTTTGCTTCTTATCTTTCTACCAATCAAATGTCGCAAAAAATATTATTTGGAACAATTGTTGTTCAATTTCTTTTTTCTCTCTTCGTTATTTATAAAGAAATTAAACAAACAAAATTGTGACTGAAATCAGGGGAAAAATACAATGCTGATTTGTTACACATATGAAATTCAATCTTTTAAAAAAATAAATAATCAAGTTTAGGAGAGATAGTCAAACTGCCTATGTACTCACTGTCTTTAACACCCCTCATCATTTTGTATGTGTTTGTACGCTTTTGAGAAACGCCCCTCTCCCATACCTGCATACATACTTTATGGATGCCCCTAGATGTAATCTAGGGGCATCCATAAGTTTTTGCGCAATAATAGTTTTTAGTTTTTGCGCAATAATAGAAGCGAAAACTGTTTATTTTTCCATTATTGTTGATGGAACTCTGGATGTGTTTCATACGGAAGAAATCACTTTCATTCTTTGATTTGTCCACCTAGGATCTGACAACCAATGGATAGTAAAAGTTTTCTAAAGGTAGAAAATCTGGAGCAAAAAAAAGTTTTGGTATTGCAAAGCTGATTATAGACATTTTGGATCAAAGCCAAATTGATTTAAAAAACTGTAGAGGCCAGGGCTATGATAAAAGCTAATATGTTCTGTGTATACAAAGTAGCGCAGGCCATTATTCTAAAGGAAAATCTTCAAGCTTTGTCCATGCCTTGCAGTGTACATAGTCTCAATCTAGCTGGCGTTCACTCTACAGAATCCTCTACTGTAGTCAAGAATTATTTTGGCAACACCAATTGTTGTATTACATTTTTAGTAGTCACCCATGCGCTGGAAAATTTTGTCTGAGGCAACTAGGCTTTCTTTTTACCAAATGTCACCAAACAAGATGGAGTGCGCGCATAGAAGCTGTTCGGCCATTGTTGAAACAACTAAAAGGAATACTAAAGTCCTTGAAACTTCTTGAAGAACTTGATTTAGAAGATCATCAACTGACTTTAGTTAAGGCATTCAAAAAATGGATTCAATCATTTCAAATCATTGTCTTGACTTATTTTTGGCTCAAGCTTCTCCTATGCGTCAACAATTTCTGCCTCCTTCTTCAATCAGAAAGTATTTCTTTGGATGATGAGACAACATTCTTAAAGATTTTAATCAATGATCTTGACCGACCATGTTTTTCTTGGCCCCAAATCCTCTATAAAGCAAAACTGGTTGCATCTGGGTTAGTTTCGTTTGGATTTTAAAATGATTTTATTAAAAAGAGGACAAGGAAAAGGAAAACACTTCATGGTGAGTCAATGAACACAACCCACTTCCACGAAGATAAATCAAAGGGTTTTTGCATTTTGCTTTGCATTTTTAATCCAATCCGACTTCAGTCTTCATAATTAAAATTTTATTGATGAAATATATAATTCCATTAAATTTAAATTGTATTTGTACTTTCGTTTTATCATATATAACCAAGTTCAAATTTAGAGTGTTTATGAGCAGTGATAGTTAATACAAAAATAATAATTCTTTTTTATTAAATTTTAATGTGATAGTAGACATACGAGTAAGGGGTGTGTAAGGTGTAAGATAAGATGTGTAATTGCTTTTATTACTTTTTTAAGTCCAGATTTAATGATAAAAATAGTTTAACAAAACAGCATATATTCAAGTATTTTTGTTATAAAAAGTCATTCCTTGACAAAAGTAAGTGTTTATTTTTATTCATATCAAATTGTCAGAAAATTAAGTATTAAAAAATTCAAAAAATTTTATAAAAAAAAATCTAAATTAATGAAATGAATCTTCATATTATAAAATATGATTGACAGCTTCCTACAGCTGTTCTAATTAGAACAGATTAATCCTAAAAAAAAAAAAAACTATAAAAAAAACCTACATTCCTATAGCTGTTCCATTTAGAACAGATTGATCCCAAAAACATGTCCACTTTTTTTCTACATTCCAATACCATTGCTCTGTTGCTGTCATACTATCCCAGTTATCAGGAACTTGATTGGGAAGAGTACAATTGAGTTGGTGATCTATTAATGAAGGTGCAGTACCTAAAAATTATAAAACTTAATTTAAATTTAAAGAAGTTGATTGTACTCACTTAATTACAACATGGAACATCACACATTTAATTAAAATATATTACATTATTTACATGTTTGCAGCAGATTAAAATAAAAATTTTTACAAAAATTTAAAATCAGCAGGCAAAACAAAGAAAGCTGTACCAATAACACTGCTAAAACAAATATTTTATTTAATTTCATATAAATATTCAATTTTTTTTCCTAATAACACTATTTAAAATTAAAATCAAAAAGATCAAAAAATCTCTAAAGCCTTCAAATCTTTGAAAACCTTAAAGTTAAAATAAATTAGGATCTGCATATATTTATTCATTTCTACGCAAGTTAAATGATAATTGTTTTTAAAAAAAAGACCAAATAAAGCTGACTTGATCTCTGACTATTAAAATGATCTCTCGCTATTAAAATATGCCCTGAAATGGTAAAATTCCTACAGAGTTTTTATATAAAAAGAAATGATTAACTTTAAAAAAAATTAATGATTTAAAAAACTGATTCTTAATATCATGTATACTTTGCACACCTGTAATTACGGTTACAAAATAATTAAATCATTAACAACTATTCTTGCAATAAATAGTAATTATTACTAATTACTATTCATTGCAAGCATGATAGAAATATTCACATTTATTAACAACTACAAAAATTAATTATATATTTAACATTTTTTTAAATCAATTTACCTTTGTTTAAAAATATAAAAAAATTTCCAGTAAAATTTTTCAGCACTGGTCGAACATAAGCTACAATTACAGAGGAGTTTACAGTAGCATCAATTCTGTGTATATCTCGCATTAACTGACAATATGCTGTGAAATTCGTAATAGGAGGAGGTATTTCTGTATTATTTAAAACAATATATATTGGTTTTGTGAGATTAGCAATTTTCTTTGCCTGCCCATTTTTATCTGCAAGAGACAGCCCTAAAACAGATCCTTTGATGTTTTCAGCAGATTTGTCATAAGAATAACGATTAGGGCCAACTGAACTCTAAGAGAAAAAAACTTTATATTTATTATTTTATATCATATTTATATGCTATCAGTATATAGTTATGTTAGATATAAATTACTTTAAAGAAGATCATGGATTAATATAAATATAAATAGACTATAATATAAATAGAAAATATAAATAGACTATAATATATAAATAGACTATCAAACTTAATTAAATTAAAAGTCTTCTATAATAAGTTTTAATTTCTTAATAGAAATTAATAGACAAAATTAACAAAATATAAATAGACTATCAAACTTACAAAGTTTATGAAACTCTACCACAACACAACTTACTATAATCTCAATAAAAACTTTTTTTTTTAAATAAACTAACTCATTCCCAACAAGACTGCAAGCAACTAACATTGTCAGTCTTCTGTTTAGCCAGTGCTTTTACTTAAACCATCAAAAAAGTGCTTGCCAGAGTTTTGACTTAAAAAAAACTAATTTTTTGTTTGTTTATCTTTTATAAAAAAAATCTTGAAAATACATTTATGTATAAGACTGTTAATAAAAAATAAATGTTTGTTTTGTCTTTTTTAATGTCATTATTTTGTTTAGAATTAAAGTATTTTGTTAAATTATTTTTATTTAGAATTTAATTAAAACATTTGTTTTGCCAGTTTTATTTAATTATTTCATTTAGAACTATAACGCGTATTTTAGAACTATAATAGCGTACCGTTTTTGTTATAATTATTTTTTTAACATTAATATTATTATATTAATACTATTTCATCTAGAAATTAAATAAAATGTTTGTTTTGCTGGGTTTTTAATAATTATTTCATCAATAATTTGTTCAATTCTTTTTGCAGTTTTTATTTTAATTTAAATAAAAAAAAAGAGATTAGTTTTTCACATTGCGCAAGCCAACCTAAAAATGACTATCCAGTCAACAATTTTCTGTGTTGGCATTAAATTTCAAATGGAGAAGGCTGTAATGTATATATGATTTTCATAAGTGGTTTGTAGTGAATGATAATTCAAGAAGAAATAAAATAGAGGACTCAGTGAGAGCGTTGCCATTCATTAATAAAAATGTTAACAATATTGTGATAACTGTTTGCAAAAAATAATGAGTTTTGTTGAACTTAAAAATCACAAGCACCTGCAAGCCCCATGCTTTAATAGAAGAATGATCATATTCAAAATCAGCTGCATGTTCAAAGCAATCAAAAAGTGAAGAATTTTTATCAAGAAAGAGTATAAAGTTGAATTGTCAGCTAATAGAGCCACTTTGGATCAAAGATTTTTAAGAAGATCATTAATGTAGTAAGAAACAATATAGGACCAGGGATAGTACTTGCAATACCTCAGATGTTACTAGAAATGAAAAAGAGTGTTGGCCTTAAAAAATAACTATAATACTGTGGTTAGAAAAATAATGAAAATAGTCTTAAAAATTTTCAAAAAAACACATAATGAAGTAAGCTTATAAAGAACACCAACATGTCAAACTTTATTAAAAGCTTTTGAAATGTCAAGAGCAATAATCCTTGCCCTCGACACCTCCTTATAATGTAAGAATCTTTTAGTTAAAGGAGTTAGCAAGTCTGTCCATAGAACAAAAAAATGGAAGAAATTAGACTTACTTAAAGCTAAGTAAAAACATAACTTAGTATAAGCTCTATTATAAACGTATGACTCAATTATAAACTTATGCTTACAAAGATCAACCATTACTACCATTATCAATTACTTGACCATAGCTATCAAATTGCATTATGACAACATCAAGTGTAAAAAAAGACATGAGGTGTATTAAATAAATTAAAATATAGTAATGACAGTTAGGTCGGCCTTGCTGAATGCCGACCCTAATTCCGAGGGTTGAATAACAAAGCTTTTAATAAACTACAATTAATTTTAATTTCCTGAAATTGAAAAAAAAAACTTAATTCACAAACAAAGAATTTACCAAAACTCTTAAACTAATAAAACTCTTGCTGTACACTAGAACCCAATACCCCACTAGTATCAGCGATATAAAGATAAACCCTAATAATATTAGCAAGATATAATCACTAAATATGATGCCTCTAAGTTAAAGATCAAAAGTGGGTAAAACAAATGACCTCATAAAATATTAATACCTAACGCAGGGCCGATTAAGGTGGATTGCAATTGAGAATCGCAATTGTTTTTCACACCTTTGCGATTTGTTTTTTCTTGAAAAAAATATTTATTTAATTTCTTTTTTTTTGTTGCTTTTTTTGTGTTAATTTTTTTTCTTTTATAATTTGGCATTTTTTTAAACTATTCTTAAAAGTAATGTTTTTGTCTAAGTTTTTTATTATTGCTCATAAAATATGTCAAGCTACATTTATATTTTGAATATATGTCCAATCTTTGCTTTCTTGCGCAGAGATTTTATTCAACACAAAGTGCTTTTAAATTAAAATTACTTTAAAAATCTGCATAGAAGCCAATATTATTTTAAAGTTATATTTAGTTTGGTTTACTGAATGTATAAAGTACATCATAGTAAATTCACCTTTAAACTAAATCAAATTTTAAATTTAACTATCAAACATTAAAAATCAAACTTTAAATTAAACAAAATCAAAACCAACAGTTAAGTTACTACAGTAACTTAAAGTTACTCAACTACTAAATTTACATAACATACTCAAAGAGTTGCAAAAATTAGCCATATAAATATTTCTATTTATATCTTATATGTTGTTAACACATAATATAAGCTTCTAACTAAAAATTATTTTAACAAGAAATCCTGAATAGAGTATAAAAAACGTGATACCATTTTATTTTATTTTATTCAAAACAATATCAAGATCAAACATTTTCTATCAATTCCCAAGTTGTTTTTAGGAATTTTATTTAAAAAGAAATCTATTTGAACAAAAGGATTATAGTCTTCTAAAATTCTCTTCAAATAATTTTGCAATTGAAATTTGAAATTAAAAAAATTGGAAAAATTTAAAAGAATTTTAACACTCAATAATTATAAATTTAATTTAGCCGTGTCCGTAATACTCAGTCTGTAGTATTCAGCATAGGAAGAGTCGTTGCTGAAAGTTAAACGTTTATCTAACTACAGTAATATTATCAAATTTATAAAATCGTGTAAGTGAGTAAGAAAGTTTTATTTTATTTGTAAATGTTTTGAATATTTTATTATATTTTGTTTCTTGAAAATAGTTTCAAAAGTAGAAACATTCTATAGCAAACATTAAACCAGTGATTGCAAAAGTTAAAATAAAAATAAAATTATAAAAATTTAAATGAAAACTAATAAACCAGTTTACTTCTGTTCAAAGAAATTTATTAAAAAAAATAATTTAATCATATTCTTAAACTTTAGGAAATATAATTTGATTTATTAAACCAAATTTTTTTGTTTTGAATGAAAAGAAACAAGATCAAGAAACAATAATGAAAAAGGTAATATCTAATATTTTTTTGCTTTGATCTTTCTCATTTGGTCTATAAATTATTTGTATGGTCTATGGGCATAGTTTTGTGCAAATGTGAAGTTTAACGTTTTATGATGATAATTTAATTAGAACAATTCTATTAATTTACTTCAATTTATTTTAAACAAGTTTTATGTTATTAAAGCAATAAAACAGCGTCACGATGATGTTTTACATTAACACAAGCTCTTTATATTGTTAAAACAACTTTACAGTTTGTTTTATTGTTGTTTTACAGCTTTTTACAAAAAAAATTAAGTACTCTTTAAAAATAAGACGTGTTTTATTGTCAGCATGAACATATTAAATAGTTTTTATTGTTGCATTTTTGCAATTTTACTCTTACTTTTTTACTTTTACTTTTTTAAGTATTATGTAAAAACAATTACTAAACAACTAAAATTAACATCTTAATAGTACAGCGTAGGAGTGTACCCTCATGGTTGTTTGGTGGCGAGAGACCACCAGACGACCATGAGAGAGAGATTCATTTTCTCCAAGGGCAACTAAAAGTTTTCAAAAATCTTTTTCAGTAGTCCAGCATGACGACCAGACAGTTTTTTACTTTGAAAATGTGTTCATTAATAAAACCATATTTTGATCTATGAAGATTTCTTGCAATTATTAAAAAGCATTTAAAGTAGTATACACTACGTTTAATAATTTAATGACTACAATTAATACTTTATACTATGATGACACTACGATGAGTGCATTATATAATTTTACTTAACTTAATAAAAAGAAGCCGACATGCAATTTAATGTTTTGTTTAATATTTTGAAGGTCTGTTTTTTTAAAGACTGTTGTTGCATTTTGAACCATGTAAAAATAGACAGTTGAATCATTAATAACATTGAATTGAGGTAAAAAATTTTTTTTTTCGAAATTAGATTTTTTTGCGTTAATTCAAGCCTTAAAATGTATTTAAATGTATTTTAAAAAATTGTGATGGGATATGGTATGATTACACCAAAATAATAGAGTACCTGCTTAAAAACTAAATGAAGTTTATTTAATGAAAAATAATTTAAAAAAGTGTTTTTTTATTTAAAGTAAAATTATTTTCACTTTCAATATTAACTGCTCTTTTTAGTACTGAGCCCCTTAGTAATACAATTTAAAAACGTAAATTAGTATTGCATACTAAATTTTTTATTTCATTTAAATTTTCCAAATTAAATGGTTACAATGACAAAAACTTACCACAGCTCCAAAACCACCTCCAGAAGTTGCGTCTCCTAAGCTACTGTATGAAAAACCACCAAAAGAAGCTGGCTGTGTGGAATCAATACTCCTCATGCTTATTTCACCAAGTGATGTAGCAAGTACATGAGGAGCTTCTCCTACACTCATTTGTGAAACTGCAAGGAAAGAAATTCTTGTCTCAATCTCCATTGCAGCTTTTACAGCTTCAGCAGCCTTAATAAAAAAGTAGATGAAACTAAAATATTAAAAAAATTACTAAAAAACTAAAAAACATTCTGTTTACTTGAATTGAAAGTCTATTTCAATTGAAAATATTTGTAACAAAAGTGCAACTTTTTAAGTTACGTAAGCACTTCTTGCATGTTCTACCTATTTGTCAGTCAATGTAGTAGCACTTCTTGCATGCTCGACCTATTTGTTAGTCAATGTAGTAGCACTCCTTGCATGTTCTATCTATATGCCAGTTGATATAGTAGATATTCTTGCAAATTCTATATATTTGTTAGTCAATGTAGCAAAACTCCTTGCATACACTACCTATTTGTCAGTTGATGCAGCAGTGCTCCTCTTATGTTCTACATATCTGTCAGATAATGTAGCAGCACTCCTTGTATGTTCTACCTATGCTGCTCTAAAGAGCTAGCTTCTCTTGTGTTACCTGCTAAAACTCTTTCTCGTGTTACTTGTCATTCAATTAAGTCTCATCTATTTACTGTGACTGTTGCTAAGTGCTCCAAAAATTTTGTCTAGTTTTTTTCCTCGAACATCAGTTCTTTGAACTTTGCTCTACCTTGTTTTCCTGATTCATATAATTTGCAATCTTCAAAGTCGTCTGTTAATCGTTTATAAACTTTTATAAATCTTTTCTCTTCCAATAGCTTCCAACTCTAATAGTGGTTGCTTGCAGCCTTTTACGAAGTAAATATGTTTAAATCAAAAATTAAAAATTTTGTCAGTTGATACATGTAAACAGTTAAATAAGAAATTTTAAAAACATTCAGAATGTTTTTATTTTTATTAAAAAAATTAAAAAAACATTCCAGTCTTTAAAGTTGTGTTTTTGTGGTTTCTTTAAAATTGATAAAATTTAAATTAAAAATAAATTAAAGTTAAAAATAAGTTTCCTCAGTTAAATTTAATTTTTACATAAAGTCTACTTAATTTATTTTTATTTTAAAGAGCCCTTTTTTACCACAAACAGTAAAAACAGTGTCAAATTCTAGGAATATACACTTGAGGAAATAGAAATCTTACGTTGTATTATTAATCCAATATTTTATAAATCTGTTAGCAAATTTGTATGGTAAACATTTTTTATTCAAAAATATATTTATTATACAATTATTGTTACAAACAAAATCTTTTTAATTTATAGCATTATCTGTGTATCAAATGTACTGTGGTACAACATAAAATGTTGTACCACAAATAAACTACAATACTCTAAAAACATAAAATGTATAATACTTGATATTTGTGGTAAAAACTGAATTAGCCTCAATAACAATTATTTTCAGTTTATTTTTTTATTTTTTTTTACTTGTTTATTAACTGGTGATACACATTTGCAACTTTTTAATTATTATTTATAAGTAAAACAAAGACTGCGAAATTAGTGCTCATAAAGTTTTTAACATTAAGGTTGTGATAACTGAATGCAAAATAGGATGTGATAAGCATTAAACGAATGAAGAAATAGCTGTTACCATAGCATACAAAGGTTCTTATCTAATCAGGAAATTGCAAAGAAAATTAAAAAATTTCCTAAAATGATTATTACTTCAAGATGAGCGTTTATTATGGAGCTTATAAGGAAAGTGGTGACAAACATAAAATTGATAATTGTACTAAACAAACTATTGTACATCGTACAGCTGCTCAGCACATGACTGTATCTTGAATTTCATAAAGAAACTAGATCAAAATTTGCAAAAAAACACATGGCTTGGCAGGAAGAGTTTTTTTGAGTGATGAAAAAAAGTTTATTCGCCCTGGTTGATGGTTATCGATATTACGATATGGAATGGTCCTGATAGTTGTGATATATTTACTGTGATATTATTACTGGCACAAGCTGTTTAGAGGAGCAGCTCGCATGTCTCACCATGTTTGTTTTGGAAGAGCTTTTCTCTGCTCTCGCACTCATTTATTTTTGCCAAAGCCTCTCTCTTTTTCTTTCTCTTTCTTTCTTTCTCTATATATTTATCTATATATATTTAGATACAAGGCCTCACTCTTTTTCTCTCTCTTTCTTTCTCTACATATATATATATATATATATATATATATATATATATATATATATATATTATATATATATATATATATATATATATATATATATATATATATATATATATATATATATATATATATATATATATATATATATATATATATATATATATATATATATATATATATATAAATTGTCAAAGGATCTGTTAACCTCAAATAAAATAAATACTTATATAAAACTAACAACACTTTTAAAATGTTAAAAAACATATTTCCAACTAAATATTTCATCATTAGTAAAATTAAAAAAAATCATTCAAAAACTGTTTTCATATGGGTTATAAAATTAATTACTCTATTACAAAAATCTATTATAAAATCTATTACAAAAAGTTATAAAGATACCATTAAGATACATTATTAAAATGTGTCTGTTTCCATTAAAAAAAAATTATTACATCAACGCCTAAAAATAAAACATTAAAACAAAGCATAAAAAACAAAACAAAAAAAATTAGTAGAACTAACCAATCATATTTATTTTATTTTTATAGTTGTTTATACATTTATTGATAGACAACCATTTTAATAAACAAACATTTTAATCTGTAAAACATTTTAATCTGAAAAACTCTGTATGTCTAAATTTAACAACAAAAAATCCCTTAATAACAAATATTTAAGTTGTCGTACATAGGTGATTGTTCTAGAAATATTCAAAACAAAATTAATGATTTAACAAAACAGTAATGAGATGTAAAAAGATTTCATTATTAAATTATCATTTTCTTCTTTTAAAATTAAACACTTTATATAAATTGTTAATATTATTACTTAATAAATGGCCAAAAAAATGAAAGATGACTGTAGAAAAACGATCTTTAACATTCACATTGTAGTAAAAAATATTCTGTTGGTTATATAGTAAAAAAATTCAAGATTTTGAGCTCAACTGTTTGGAATATTATAAAAAAGAAGAGAGAAACTGGTCAACCAAAAGAGATCTGTGCGGTCAACCAAAAAAGATCTGGACATTGTCAAATTACATCTGCTGCGAAAGATTGAAGAATTATAATTCCTAGTAAACGAAATCGATTATTAATAGCTCCAGAATTAACCTTTACTTTGAATTGTTCTCGAGGAGCTCCGGTAACAACAGTGGAGAGGCAATTGATTGAAGTAGGGCTTGGTGGCAGAATAGCAGCAAGAAAACTTTTTCTTTGTTCCCAAAATAATAAAAAAAAGACTGGAGTGGACAAAAGTACACAAAAAAGTGTGTTCTTTAGACCAACAAGTTTAAGTTTAAAATCTATGGTTCCAAATGAAGGTCTTTTATCTAAAAAAATGTTGGTGTGCTGATGATAAAAGAATGTGTGCAGGCAACTGTGGAACATGGTGGAGGTAGTGTTATGATTTGGGGTTGTTTTGGAGGAAATACTACAGGTGACATTGTAAATATAGAAAGAAAAATGACGAAAGAAGTGTATTTGGACATTTAAAAGTCATGCCATACTTTCGGGAAGTCAAATTATTGGGAAGCTATTCATTTTTCAAGAAGATAACAATCCAAAGCTTCAAAACTTTGTAGGATTTACTTAAAGAATGATCAAGTATTGAATAGAATGATTTGGCATCTTCAATCACCAGATCTCTCTCCTATCAAACTTTTATAGGATGAACTAAAAAGAAATGTAAAAAGTCTAATCCCTAGTGGTGCAAAGGGTATATGGAAAAAGACTTAATAGTGAGTGGAATAAAATTGACTTCAACAAACTGGAGAAGTTATGTGAAATGCCAAGAATATGTAAAGTGGTTATTGCAGCCAAGGTTACATATATGTGATTAAATATAAAATACAATTTAGTTTGATGTTTTATTTTTTATTTTGCAAACTCAGTCTCAGTTTTGCTCTCGCAATAGTGAGTAGAACTTTGATAATTTTGAAAATTATGACCATTCCAGTAGTTATGGACAATATTGTGTGTGTATATATATATATATATATATATATATATATATATATATATATATATATATATATATATATATATATATATATATATATATATATATATATATATATATATATATATATATATATATATATATATGAAGACCTCAGTGGAAAAACCAGCGTTGTCACATTTTAAAAGTTTTGAGAAAATATTTATTGATCATCAATAAAAGTCTTTATATAAAGCAACAAAAAAAAGGAATTTCTAATAAAAATTATATAAATTTTTTTTATAATTAAACTTTAAATAAAATAAAACAAAATATTGTTTTTTTTTCTCATCTTTAATTTTCTTTGCCTAATATAAAAACTTTTATTAATGATCAATAAATCCTTTCTCAAAACATTTTAAATGTGACAACGCCGGTTTTTCCACTGAGGTCTTCATATATATATATATATATATATATATATATATATATATATATATATATATATATATATATATATATATATATATATATATATATATATATATATATATATTTTTATATATATATATATATATATATATATATATATATATATATATATATATATGTATATATATATATATATATATATGTATATATATATATATATATATATATATATATATATATATATATATATATGTATATATATATATATATATATATATATATATATATATATATATATATATATATATATATATATATATATATATATATATATATATATACATACACACATACATACATATATACACACATATTGACATCATCAGGTAAAAAAAAAAGAGTTACAATTTCTAATTTAGGAAGGCCACCTCAAGTCAAAATTGCAACAAGACCTTAAACGCAAAAAAAAAAGTTTTTCAAATATGTGTCATGTTGAGTCTCAAAAGAAGCAAAAACTTACAAAAAAAAAAAGTAATTATTATTTTTTGTTAAAAATACCTTAAAAAAAAATTTCAAAAAAAACCATAATGTAATAGGTT